CTGAAGATCACGAATGGCCACCTGAGCGCCCCGAGCACGTTCATTGCATCCCTCCGTGACCCACTCCTTCCACGTAGCTCTGGCCTTACCAGTCGCCCCCGCCTCAGCCCACGCGCAAGACTAATCCCCCCCCCCCCAGGAGAGCATCAATCTCCGAGCCCGAAAGCCAGGCGCCCAGCGAGATCGCGCTCTTGGCCGATATCCAACCCGAGCGATCCAGACCGCAATTCGTCGATACCGCGCGGGGCAAAGTCAGGGGGCGAGGGGGCGACAAATCGAAAAGCTGAGCTCGCACCCGCCTGGAAAAAAAACGGGGGGGGGGGGGGGGCGAGTCAGGCTGCGCAGCGACGTCGGGCGGCGCGCGCTGGAGGCCGCGGGTAACACCGCATCCTTCACTTCGAAGATCCGCCCCTTCATCTGCGAAGTAGCACCCGAGGGCTCGAAGTTGCAAAGCCAGCCAGTTGATGGACCTACGGCGGGGATCCTTGACCTCACCCCTCGTTTGCAAAACCGACTTCCACATGAGCTCGGGGCGCCCGCCCCTCACGCCGCGGGGGGGGGGGGGGGGGGGCAAAAGTCCGACTCAAATCACTTTGAGCCTGGCTGGCCCGCAGGCGATGACCAAGGGTGAGGAGACGACGCGCCCCTTCCAAAGTTCCTTCCAGAGCCGCTTTGCGCGCCGCCCCAGAACGCTCCAACGCCGAAGACCAATCCCCAGGACACGGCCGGGGCCCAACAGGCGGACGCGACGGGATATTAGGGGGGCGGCGGGAGGCGGGAGCCTTCAGAGCGGCCAGGGATCTGTGAAAGGTGATTTCCACTGGCTTGCGAGGTGAGAGATCCGATTCTGCGACGACGCGGACCTCCTGCATGCGTCGGCTGAGCGAAGACGAACAAACGAGGAAATCAATCGCGTCAGGGCGAGCGCCAGACGGGGAGCGCGCGTGATCAGCGGCCGCGACCATCGCCCCCTGCAAAATCTCGGCAAAACTCGTTTGGGCCAGGGTACAGGGAGCGAATTTGAAGTCCCCTCCCAAAGCGAAATCACACCCTTGCCCCTCCAAAAAACACCAACGCCACGAAGCACCTCCACATTTTTACCCGAGCCCTTGGGAGCGGCGCAGGTAAGAGGGAGACGAGGGCGAAGGGCGAGCACCCAGGCACGCGCAGCAAGCCTGCCAGAGCTCCACCCTCAGCCAAGACCACTTGCTCGGCCGTGAACAGCCCGAGCCCTTGGAGCACAGCAACCAATACTCCAGAACTCGCACTTCCTCCTTATCCTAATAAACCTGGCGCCCAAATAGTCCGGTAACCCCAAGATTTACAGATATGTGACCTGGCCGCGACACCTTCAGGACCCCTAAGACGATGTTCTTGCGCAAGAACCACATGAACGGAGGTGCCTCGCAGAAACTTGCTCGCCGCCGCCCCCCCCCCAAAAAAAAGCCGGCGTTGATGGCAACCGCCCGAAGCTGAAACTCAGAGGGCCCATCGCGAGGAAGGGGGGGCTCTTTGAGTTCAGGCCCAGGGGCACGGGCAGGGACTTCAGGAGGCTCAAGGGGGGCAGGCCGGGACTGTTCACTGGGAGTGGCGGCCTCCGCAACCTCCGACAAAAAGCGCTTCGACAATCTGATCCCCGCAAGCTTCGCCTCCGAGCCAATCGACGAGGCCCGAGACGCGAAACAATCAAAAATAACACCGAAGGAACTCAAGTTACTGCTGCTCATGCTAGGAGGCCCCTTCTCATGCTGCTGAAAGGGGGGGGGGGGGTCACCTGGCGAAGCCGATGAGGCTTGAAGCGAGGCCGCAGCTCGCGCGCGAACATCCTCGCCCGCTGCAGCAGCCCCTCCAGACGCCCCAGAAGTTGCCGACGAAGCCGAAGCAGACCCTGGCGAGCCGGAAGGACCGCCAGCGTCGCCGCACTGGTCAGGTCCACCTGCAGCAGCCTCTTTATCATTGCGTTTGCGCCTCTTGCCCGCCGGCTTGGCCTTCTGGGCAGCGCGCGCTGCCTGCGCAGCCTTGGCCTGCTCGACCGCCCGCGCGAAGAGCTAGCTGCTTCGCCATGCCCGCGATGCCCTGCGAGAGGGTCGACGAGCGAGAGGCCACTTCAGCCTCCTCTTCAGCCGAGAGCTCCAGCTCCGCATCCAGGTCCTCCAGGATGTCGCAGTTGATGAGCGCTCCCATATCCACCTTGCCCGAAAATGAAATCCTCAAGCCGAATCGAGGGCGTCGACTCGGGCTGACTGCTGACCTTCGACTCCGCGGCCAGCTTCTGCGCAGCTTCCGTGCACTCCTCGTCAGCCTTCTCAAGATCCAGCTTGGCACTCCACACCTTGGCGACCTGCTCCGCGAGCTCGCTCTGGAGACGTAGCAGCCGAGCCAAGTCCGTCTCGAACTGCTTCTCCAGCTTGCGCACCTGCCCGTGCTGCTGTTGAACCGCCAGATGAAGTGATGGCGCCTGCTTGGGCTTGGCTTCAGCAGCGACCAAACCTTTCGCGACGTTGCTGTACCAGCTTGCTCCACTGGCATCACCTGCCTTCTCTCAAAACAAAACACAACGAGCCAGCTCCTGCGCCTCCGCAGCCGAGATGCTGGGGACAGGTCCTGCAGGAAGTGGAGCGCCTGATGTGCCGTCTGCTCCTGAACCTGGTGGTGCCCCAGCGAGAGCAAGCTGCATGTCGTCCTTGCCCTTGCCCTTGGACACACCACCGCCTGCGCCACCAGCTGCCCCCGCCTGTTGACCGCCACGCCCAGCGCCGCCTCCCGAGAGCGTGAACCAGCCTGGGGGGCCGCGATGCTGAGGAGACCAGACGTCTTGAGCCACAGGAGAACGAGCAGGGCCCAACTGCGGCAGCGGGACGCGACAATGCTTGCACCACTGCGCACCAAGCTGATTCTTTTTGCATCCACAACCTGAGCGCACGAGACCTTTGAACTGTTTACCCTTCTTTCCTGCACCCCAGTACTTCCACAGCTCCTCTTCCTCCGACTGGCGAGCCCACGGCGTGAGAGCGCAAGAAGGATGAGGCACCATCCCAAAAGAAATGTAGCACAGGAGAACGACGGGTACAATAGCCTGAACGTGGTGAGAGATACACTGGCGGAAACCGCCAGGACGTGGTAGGGGCCGCAAGATCCCCCCTGCCAAAATACTCAATTCCCTAAGCCAACGCTGCGGACTTGAGCCAAAATGGCTACGGAGTCTCCTCCTTCTTCTCCTCCTCATCCTCCTCCAACTCCTCCTCCAACTCCTCCTCCTCCTCCTCCTCCTCCTCCTCCTCCTCCTCCTCCTCCTCCTCCTCCTCCTCCTCCCCCTGTTCCTCCTCCTCCTCCTCCTCCTCCTCCACCTGATCCTCCTCCTCCTCCTCCACCCTCCTCTTCCCTCCTCCTCCTCCTCCTCCGCCTCCTCCTCCTGCTTCTCCACCCTCCTCTTCCTCCTCCTCCTCCTCCTCCTCCTCCCTCCTCCTCCTCCTCCTCCGGGGGGAGGAGAAGACGGAGCCCTCTCCACCTGCCACTTCCGCTCCTCCCCCCTTTTTCCCTCTCTTGTGTTGCAACCATGGCGGCACCGCCCGCCAGCCGAGGCGCCTCTTTCCCCCGTCTCTTGGCGGCGAGCGAGGACAGGAAGTGAGAAGGAAAAGACCTTCTCAGAAAGCGGCGGGACTTTTCAGAAGCCCTCGCACCTTCTGAGAAGCTTCCTGCGTCTTCGGGAAAGGCTTAGAAAACTTCTCGGAAGGCCGGGGAACTTCCGAGCCTTCTGAGAAGGCCTTCTCCTTCTCAGTTCCCCCCCTCGCTCGCCGCCGAGTCTCCTCTTTCCATGCTGTCTGTAGCCATTTTGGCCCAACCGCCCCGCTGTATCGGAGGCGTTGCTGTGCCCTTCCGCTGAAGCGGCGCCGCTTGCGTCGCGCCTGTCGCCCTCCTGCAGTCGGCCGGGCGTCGACGCTATATAATCACCGGCGCCGCCGCCGTGCGCTGCAACTTGGCGGGCGCCCCCCCCCCCCCCCCGAGATTCGCCCAAACAGAAGAATCATTTGTATAATCACGCGCCCCTCCATACCTCCGTTAATCACAAGCTGACATTCGTGCGGCTGAGATCCGCCACCGTGCCTCTGGAACGAAGTGGAGCGCCCAAGGCGTACAGCTGTGCGGCTGATGCATCGGCCCTTAAATACCACCCTTCAAAACGGGTGACTGTAAATGGGTGCATCAAAACGGGTGAACTTAAACGGGTGAAAAAGCATGATCCCCTAAGGGCGCTCCTGGCGCCAACCGACGGGGCCGGATGGTCTCCAGTCGGCGGAGCGCCAAATGAGACAACCGCGGCCCTCCCTCGCTCAAAATCCGCCCCCAGAGAGTTCCGTGACAACTCATGGGAGCCTCCCATACCGTCTTGTTGGCTTTTGCGAATCGACGCTAGTCGACGCTAAATCGACGCTAATCGACGCTGAATCGACGCTGTTCGACGCGAATCGAAGCTGACCGACGCTAAATCGGCGCCATATCATTGGCTCCCACACGCTAGTCGACGCTAGTCGACGCCAAAGACGGAATGACGAGGCTATACCAGGCTCCCAAGGTTTTTGGGCGTGGCTTAATGGGGTGGTCATTAATGGGGGGGGTCAGAAACGGTCCCCTTTCGTGCCCCTTTGGGGCCCCTCCAGAGCCCCAGGGGGCTCCTTTAGGTACCGTTTGGGTACCTTTCGGGCCACCCTCGCCACCCCCTCAATGAAGACACCCCATTACGCAGCGCCCCGAGATTTGCCTCCGAAGGAAAGGCCAGGGAGCGGGGGCCCAAGGTGCCCCCATGGCGCCAGGTGCCCCCGAGATGCCACCAGCCGCGAGGCGCTCTCCGCGAGCGCCCCAGCACGCTCTGCGCCCAGCGAGCGCCGGCGTGGCTCGTGCGCGCCCGTGGGCGACCCAGGACTCGGCGGCGACGATAGGGGCGACGAGCCCCCGGGCGGGCAGTACACGTGCTCGCCCGGGAGCCTTGTCGAGGACATAGGTCATCGGCGCATCTGAATACATGTATTGCTCCCCCCTGGGCTATTCGCCCCTATCGTCGTCTCCGAGACCAAGGACAAAACGAAAGGCCAACTCACCCGGCGAGCGTGCTGCGTCGGTTCGGGCGCGTGGGAACGCGGACGAACTGCCCGAACGAGCCGCGAACCTTGGCGGTCCCTGGACAAGTCGACGAGCTCTTGAGCATCGCTCTGGACTCCGAGGTCGCGCGAGGGAGCTGGATCTGCCGACCATGGTGGAACACAGCGGGCCTGCAATGATCTGGCACGCCCTGCTTGTGCATGATGGCCTTGTTGTGATGTCGCGCAACGTTCGCCCAGAATCCCTGCACTTCTGCCCACCTCAATGCACGCACATTGTGGCATCCAGATGCTGGCCACGATGCGAAACCGTCGAAGACTTTTTGAAAGCGCACTGCGTGCTGATGAGTCAGCAAATTCACAAACGCATGGTTGGAAATGATCAGGGGCTGCCTGACCTCTAAGACATGGAATACTGCTACACTATCGGAAAATATGTAGCCGAAACGGGCGCCCGACAACAACCGGCTGGACAGGCGATCTCCGGAATACGGCAGAAGATGGTTCACGGGTTGATGGTGAAGCCGGAAAAGATGGGGAAGAACATGTAAATGCACCAGACTCTCGGAGTACAAGCCAACCCAAGAGAAGTGCAGAAAGTGCTCGCAGTAATAGCCACCCACTTGAATACTGCAGCACGCATGTCGGGCTAGCGACCTGGAGGGGCAGGCGGGCCCTTTCCATGCCGCCCAGACTTGCCGCGAGAAGCGGCATACGGCGCCGCGCGGCCCTTACCTGCCGAGGCTGCACGGGGCGCCATGTCGGTGTCGTCGATTTCTGATGGTCCGAAGGTATGGGCGGAAGTTACAGAAGGCACCGAGGCAGCTTGTATGCCTGGTGGCTCCGACGACGGATCGGCAAGAGATACTGGCCGAACGAGTGGACCTTCTGCCGGTACGCCAGGGGCAGCATCGCCAGCAGGGGGACCTGGTGGCGCCTGGGCGGGCCGCTCTGCGGAGTCACCCCACGACTCCGCGCCGCGGCCGGCCGCACCACCAATGGTTGGTACAGCAGCGCGAGGCCTGCTGTCAACCGAGCCGGCAAGACCATCCGCGCGCAGGGAGGCTGCCTGCTTCGCCTCGCGGCGTCTCACCTTCTTACGGGCACGTTGAGCACGGCGAGCGGCCCGCAGCGTGTCCACCAGGACGGCAGGGTCCTCAGCGGGAGCTGGAACGGGTGCGCCATGCACACCGGCGGGCACTTCGGAACGCTGTCGAGGCACGGCCTCCGCCATCGGCCGGACGAGGACGCCCGTGACAGCAGCGGCAACCGCCTGGACGGTTCGACGAGGCGCCTTCGCCTGGCAAGCTGCGCGGACGGCGGCTGCGAGCAGCGCAGCACCATCCACGGACATGGCTCCTATGCGGTACCGAGGGGGGTAAAGCACCTGCCGCAATCGCTTGAGCCAAAACTTAATTCACAAACGCATATCCGAAATTGCTCGCAGATACGAAATTCGCCGGAAGATACAAGAAATCGAACTGTTCCTCGAAACCCTTGCTGTTAAGCAGATCGACCAGCTCGTCACGGATAAGAATGGTGGGCAGATTGCGCATCAATACCGTGGTCCGCTGGTCGGCGCTCGAGCCCATTTGATCGTACACCACTCTTGGGACAAAGGCAGCCGCCTTCGCGTTCAAGGGCGCGCGCAGACTGCCCGACTCGTGACCAAAGAGCGCTACATCCAGCTTCAAAATCTGCACCTGCATGGGACACGTCGCTCCGCTGGAAAGCTCCGCAACGTCCCTGGCACCCTCGCAGTTTAGGATTTCCTTTCTGACCGATACACTGGAAAACAAGCACGGCGAGTCGATGCAATCGCTTTGCGTGGGTACATCACCAGGCGCGTTTGCTTTCATCATGAAGGACGCGACTCGAGACATCGAGGCGTTCGGACAGGCGCGCACATCGATGTTCGGTACCGGATGAAAAAAGAGTTACCAAGCCGGATGAAAAAAAAAGGAGTTACCAAGCCGTGTGTTATGCTGTCGAGTGGGGAATGTGAGGCATCACAGTGCACACGATCTGGACGTCGGGTCCAGCTGGTTTTAGTCAAACTGGCAACAGAGGCGTTGTGGGGGGCTCTTGGGCGCAACTTGCGGCCTCTTGGACCATCTTGGCGCACTCGGGGTCCGCGGGGGTCATCTTAGGCCGTTTTGGTGCCCTCGCGGGGATCTCCTTAGCCGCGCTGCACAACGGACCTAAAGGCGTGTGCGGGAACGAAACCCAAGAATATAGTTGGGCGAGCCCTCCAAAACGAGCCCCAGGATCCCCAAGAGGCCCACCATTGACTGCACCCGAGATGGTTCCCAAAATGATTCGAAGAGGCTTCTTAGAAGCCTGCAGGAGCTAAGAGGACTCCCAGGAGCGCCCAATAGGCTCACAATACACACGCACACACACACACACACACACACACACACACACACACACACACACACACACACACACGCGTTTCCCACCAGCAGCGGCAAGTCGGCGAACCCCGCTCCAGCGAGAAACTAGAAAGGAGCACCAATTAGCGAATTGGCCGGCAGGCGAATGAAGGGGGGGAGCGGCCTAGAAGAAAAAGGGACGCTCAGACGTCGAAGAGCTCGACGATGAGCAGCCGGGTAGGGCAGCAGCATCCAGGCGCGCAGGGCCAGAGCGCGGTGGGCGGCCGTGGCAAACCACGGTGGCAATGGTGGCGGGTGGGCTTGCGTGGCCCGCCATTCCGCTGGGCCTGCCAAGAGCATCGGAACAAGGCGGCAATTCGCAACCCCCCAGGAAGCACGAGAAGGCAAACAAAAACGTAGCACCCCGCAGATGCGGATAACAAGGGGCGGTGGGGACGTCGGCAGTCTGCGACATGTTTGGAGTAGCCCGCCGAAAACGACAAAGTTTTACAAATTGTACAACGAGCCCGTCGCAGGCGCCGATGCTTTTTCCAAAACAATGTGGATGGGTCGCGGGCGGGTCGCGGGTGGGTCGCTGGGCGGGTCGCGGTTGGGTCGCGGGTCGGTCGTGGGTAGGTCGCGGGGTGTGTAGCGGGGTGGGTCGCGGGGTGGGCCGCGGGGCGGGTCGCGGGGTGGGTCGCGGGTGGGTCGCGGAGGGGACGACGACAACCAAGAACAACAACAACAACAACAACAACAACAACAACAACAACAACAACAGCAGCAGCAACAACAACAACAACAACAACAACAACAACAATCATTTTAAGCATGTTCGCCCTTATCTTCTCGAGTGCCCACTAACGCGTATTTTCCAAACCCTCGATACCCGCCCTCTTCGTCTTCGATCGAGCCCCTTTTGGGGGGTATACTTTTCTTCTGTGCAAGCCGGGCCCCGGCAAGCGGCGGGGCGGCCGCGGACCGTCGGCCTGGCCAGCGGCAGCGCTGATCGGCGGGGCGGCCGCGGACCGTCGACCCGACCCCAAAAGGGACGGACAGGAGAGCGACGACGACGACGACGTCGACGACGACGGCGACGTCGACGACGACGAGGGCGACGACGAGCGAAAGCGAGAGCGAGACAAAACAACAGCAGGGCCACGAAGGACACGAAGTAGGCCACGAAGGGCGACAGCGGGGGCACGAAGGGAATGCGTATGGGGACACGCAGAGCGCGAACGAGCGGGGGCCACGAAGGGCAGATAATGCGGGGCAGCCGAAGGCAACGATGGGACCACTGGGGGTAGCATCTGGGCCACGTAGGACAGTGAGGGGGCCACAAACGGCGACAGCGGGGCCACGAACGGCATGCACGTGGGGCCACAACGGGCGCGACTCCTGGGCGCCTGGGTGTCAGGAGCGCGCCGCTTGAACAAGTTGCAGGAAATTCCTACACAAGGGCGGTATTGTTCAGGAGATGCCAAGCAAATCTCCAGCGAGAGCGCGACTCCAGAGCGCCGGGAGACCGATTCCTGCATAAATCGCATAGCAGTCCCAAGCGATAGCGCGAGTCCTGACTAAAATGCGAATAAGTCTCGGACGGGAGCGGGGGTCATGATTAGATTGTGAAGAGGTCACAGGCGGGAACCGTTGTTGTTGTAACCCGGGGGCCAGGGGCCCAGTTTGATCATCAAGACGTTCCTTGTCAAAAAATTGCGTGCGAGCGTCGAGGGCACACTTTGAATGAGAAAAACAGCATGCCCTGGTGGGGAGGGACCAACAATAATTATGTATCAGCAATGAAAATTGCACAACAACAACAATCGTTTTAATAATGTTCGTTCTTATCTGCTCGCGTGTCATTCAATACGCATATCCCAAAAACCTGGACACCTGCCCTCCTCGTATTCGATCGTACCCCCTCGCGGGGGGTACACTCATTCCCTGCCACGCGCCGTTGGTGAAGCCATTGAAAATGAAGGGTAACAAATAACGGGGGCGAATGAGGACGAAGGGATCGGAGGAAGGGAGGGGAAGGGCAAGAAGGAGGGAGGACTAGCATTTGCGCTGCGAGTGGCGATTCAGCTTGCGCCAAAGCTCGCGCGAGCCACTCCAACACAGGTTAACATTAAGTTTCGCCATGGGTCGCGCCAGAAACAACGCCACGCATCCCCCCTTGAAAGAACATACCGTGGAACCACCCACGGGGGGACGTACAGCTGCGAACTGGCGTCAGAAACAAATTTCGTGGAACCCTGAAAAGAAACGGGGTGTTGGGAATGGGGCGGGAAGTTAATGAGAACTGCAGCCGTGTCGAGAAGAGCGCGGGGATGTGGAGTGGATTGGGATGGAAAAGGACAATCATAAGGTCTCAGGAGGAGGAGCGGGGCACGAGCGAGCGGGGGCCACGAAGAGCAATTAATACGGGGCCACAGAGGGCAACGACGGGGCCGCTGAGGGCAGAAACGGGGTTACGAAGGGCAGAAGAGGGGCCACAAAGGGCGACAGCGGGGCCACGAAGGGCATGCACATGGGGCCACGACGGGTGCGAACGAGCGGGGGCAACGAAGGGCATTCGTATATGGGGCCACAAAGGGCGACAACGGGGCCACTGAGGGCAGCAAAGGGGCCACGAAGGGCAGCGAGAGGGCCACGAAGGGCGACAGCGGGGCTACGAAGGGCATGCGTATGGGGCCACCACTGGCGATTGCGAGCGGGAGCCACGAAGGGCATATAATGCGGGGCCACAATATGGGCAGCGACGGGGCCACTGAGGGCAACAACGGGGCCACGAAGGGCAGCGAGCGAAGGCGACCGCGGAACCAGTACGGGCAGCGAGGGGCATCGAAGGCGGGCCAAGGGCAACGAGCGGCGACTGCAGTCCTTAACGGACTGGTCGGGCGGGCAGGCCCAGACGGGCGGGTCGAGCGGGCGGGTCGTTGAAGCATAATTTTTGCTTGATACGCCAGGCAATCTGCAGCGGGAGCGCGATTCCTGAGTGTCGGGGAGCGGCATCTGAATACATAGTGAGGAAGTATCCGGCGGGAGCCGCGACTCGGTGTAAGTTGCGAGGAAGTCCCCAGCAAGAGCGCGATTCTTCAACACATTGAAAAGGAGTATCAAGCGCCGCGACCCGGTGGTAAATTGCAACGAAGTCCCGAGCGAGAGCGCCATTCTTCAATAAATTGTAAAAAAAAAAAAAAAAAAAAAAAAAAAAAAATCAAGCGGGAGCCGTTGTTGTAAACCGGGGGCCAACAACGCAGTTTGACCCTGAAGACCTTCCCTTACAAAAAACAAGGGGCGAGCATCGGGAAGGGCACTTCAATCGAAAAAAACAATGTGCACCCGACGGGGGGGATCAACAATAATCCCACCAGCCCTTTGGGCGTGAGTGGTTTAGGGAGCTCTCTCTTTCCTCAACCCCCCTTCTTCCCCTTCGGGGAGGGGTTTACCCCTCCCCCTCCCCCCTCCCCCTGGACCTGGAGAGGGAGTCCGGAGCGTACTCAGGGGGGTCTTTTTCGACTCCTGGGAGGGCCAAAAAAACGACGACCCTCACGAGGATTCTGGCCCCGACGGGGGGAGGGAGTTTGGCCCCTCTGCTTTTCTTTGAAGCAAAAATCATTGATGTTACTACGGTTTGGGCCCCATTTGGGCGTCCTGAGGGGGCCGCGCTCATCTTCCTTCATACCAAAATCATTGATTGTACGAAGGTGTTGGGCTCATTTTGTCCTTTTCAGGGGGCAGCTCTCACTTGCGCTTCTGAGGAGGTCGCAAGAGGCCCCAAGATGGCCCCAAGAGGCCCCCAGGAGGCTCCCCAGAGGCCTCCAAGAGGCTCCCAAGAGGTCCCCAAGAGGCCCCAAGAGGCCCCCAAGAGGCCCCCAAGAGGCCCCCAAGAGGCCCCAAGAGGCCCCAAGAGGCCCCCAAGAGGCCCCCAAGAGGCCCCCAAGAGGCCCCCAAGAGGCCCCTCCAAGAGGCCCCCAAGAGGCCCCACGAGGAGCCCGAACGACTCACACCAGGACGAGGGGCCCGAACGACTCACACCACGAAGAGCCCGAACGACTCACACCACAAGGAGGGGCCCGAACGACTCACACCAGGACGA